ACACCAAAAGCATAAGCAACTAAAGGAAAAAGAGATAAATTGGACATCATCAAATTAAAAATTTGCATCAGAAGACACTATCAAGAAAGTGAAAAGACAATTTATATAATGGTAGAAAATATTTCCAAATCATATATCTGATAAGGGTCTAATATTCAGAATATATAAAGAACTCTTATAACTCAACAGTAAAAGACAAAACCCCAATATAAAATCTGCAAAGGGGAATTCCCTGGCAGTCCAGTGGTTAGGACTCCGCGCTTTCACTGCAGAGGGCGCAGGCTCAATCCCTGGTCAGGAAACTAGGATCCTGCAAGCTACGTGGCGTGGCCAAAAAAAATTAAAATATCAATAAAAACCTGCAAAGAACTTGAAGAGACATTTCTCCAAATGAGATATATAAATGGCCTATATGTATATGAAAAGACACTATTATACTATTATCATTACAGTAATACAAATCAAAATCACAATGAGATATCAGTTCACCCCCATTAGGATGGCTATTACTAATAAAACAACAGATCATAACAAGTGTTGAAGTGGACTGGAGAAATTGGGACCCTCATACATTGCTGGTGGAAGTGTACAATGGTGCACACACTTTGGGAAAAAGTTCCAGCATAAAATTACCAGATGGCCCAGCAATCCCACTCTGAGACATATTCCCAAGAGAACTGAAAACATATATTCACACAAAAACTTGTACATGAATGTTTATAGCAGCACTATTCACAATAGCCAAGTGTTCACCTATGGATAAATGAATAAACAAAATATGGTATATCCATTCTATGGAATATTATTTTTGGTCATAAAAAGGAATACAGTACTGATACATGCTTCAACATAGATGAACCTCGATAACATTATGCTAAGTTAAAGAAACCAGACACAAAAGGCCACAAGTTATATGTGCCCATTTATATGAAATGTCCAGATTAGGTAAACCATAGACAGAAGTAAGTTAGTGGCTGCAAGAGGAGGGAGGAGGGGGCAATTGGGAGTGGCTGCTAACAGATATGGGGCTTCTTTCTAGGGTGATGGAAATGATGTGGTGATAATTGCACTCATAGTGAACATACTAAAACCCAATGAACTGTACATTTTAAAACAGTGAATTTTATGTTATATCTCAATGAAGATAAAAGAACTATAATCGGAAACAGTTAAAACTGGTGACCTCAGTGGGAGAAGAGCATACTTCTACTCTTCATTTAATACCATCATGCTGGCTTTTTTTTTAACCATAGGCAAGTTATTATTCAATAATTTTAAAATTCATATATGTACATGTATATATATCTACATATATGCACATGTATAGATATATGTATTTATGCTTTTGCCACAGCTGCCCAATCCATTCATCTTCTCTGAGAACCTCCCCCACTGCTGAGGTACGGGCCTCAATAGTTACGACTAACCTACATAACACTGCCCTGGCCATAGCTGACTAGTGGACCCGACTCCAAGGTGGGCCAATCAGATTCTCTAACCCTGGAATTTGGGATTAAGATAAAGATGCTAGCTCAAGTGGGTTGGAACTGACAGGTGAAATTGGGAGCTGTGGAACAGAGAAAGATAAAGTTTGTGTGCAGAGATGAACATAGCCTAAGGGAGAAAAACTGAGAAGCGCTGCTTGGTTGGATTCCTGCTAGTTTTCCAATTCCATTCAGCAGTCTCTTGAGATACCAAGCCACCCTCCCTGCCTTTGGGTTTTACAGCCTTATAACAAATCACTTTTTTTCAGTGGTCTAACAAGGGCCAGGTGGTAGGAGAGATCAAAGGTGGGTACAGACAAAAGGGGGTGAACTGTTGGTACAGAATCATGGTGACAATAAAAAAGCAGACAGACTTTTAGATGATTTTATTATTGCTTTAAATTCTCTAAAATGCTAGTGATAAAACACTACTCCATTCCCTCCACCACACACCAATGTCCTTTTTTTCATGAGCTAGTCTAGTTCTAGTTCTGTTAGATATGACCAAAGTGCCTTGAATATAATCAAAACTAATGATCTTGACCCAACCAGCAATCTGAAGAGAACATACATAAAGAATCAGGTGATAAGCATTCCTACTTTTCTGAAATTAACAGCAGTTATTAATTCAAGGGAAAAAAACTTCTTTAAAATAAAAAATGATTAAAAGAAAAAGAAGTATACAAAACTTTTTCTCATCTAAGATTCCTGCTTTTGTTTAAGGGAAGCAATTTAATATGGGTCAGTAAATGAACAAGCACTGTGGGGACTGAGCCATCAGCATTATGCACATAACAGAGCCCAATAAAGTATTCCTAAATCTTAAGCCTTTGGACCTCAAGATTCTACACAAAAATCTTTTAGAAACTGGTACAGAAACGTAAAAGGCATTTTATGAAGGCTTATAGGAAAAAATTTACATACGAACAATTGTAATATGGCAGATACAAATTCAAAATATGGATTGGTTCACAAAGATGAATTATGATTCATACAGTTATGATTGGCCTCTAAGAGAATTTCAAAGTTTCTTATCCAAACCAAGCAAAAAGAATTAGGATTTGCATGTGAGAGTAACTCATACCTGGTACGATCACATCACATTCTCTGAACCAATACAATGTCCACCAGGACTGTCCTTAAGTTTAGATTTGCGGTCACAGTAACCACCACAATTTATACCATTTCTGATTGATTAATCAGTCTTTCCACTGCCTCTCCTCAGCAAATGTTAACGGAGCCCTTCTGATGTACAGGTATATTCTAGGTGAATAAAGCAGATACACGGCCTGAATTCCCAGGGTTAAAATACAGCCGAGGAACCCAAGAAAAAAGTGATTTCAACGACATGCTTTACAAGCTAATTTCCAGGCCACACAGGATCCTATAATTACATGCAGCAGGAGGTACCTAACTGAGGTTCCCAAAGGAAAATTAAGATTTAGCCAGGAAAGTGGCCCTGGGAGAGGAAGTGGGGACCAGGCAAAGGAAATAGCCTATGCAGAAAGCCTAGAGGCAAGGTTCAAAATCAAAGAACTGAAAGAAGGTTCAATATGAGGGGGAATATAGCTTCATAAACTACAACAGACGGGCATTCCTTTTCTATCTGGGGGAAAGATGGATTCAAAACAATTTCCTACTAAACCAAAAAGCGTCTACAAGTTTAACACCTCACTTACTTCTCACACAAACATACCTGTAAATGCTGTTATGATAAAGTTATTCAATATATTCACAGTGATAGGAAAATATAGCAAAAATATATACTATACATCAGAACAGCTTCTACAAAAACATCATGACTGTAAATATTAGTTGTTTTCTCTGTAAGACACAACCTGTATGAGAATAAGACATTCTGGAGGGAAACACATCCACAAGGTCCAGGTTCCCACAACACTACACAAACTTTACAAAATACTGTGAAGCCAATATTTTATATCCAAATTACACCTTTTGTACTATAATGAGTCGTCTGCCTCTTAGGATCATACATGCAGGAGACAAAATCTGACACAAATACATTCAAATATATACCAAATATAAAATCATCTCATTGATCCAGCAAGACTAGGATAGGGGTATTTCTCATAAATAAATTTTCTAAACATCAATAACAGGAACTTCACCCTTTAAGCACCAAAACTTACTTTTGAAAGATTTTTCCTAAAAAGTATTTACGCCCCTGCACCCTCTTAAACCTACTGTGCAACTTAATCTTCACTCCACACTTTGGGGCCACCACTTTGGAAGTCAATTATTAGTTCCAGTATTCATTACGAACATCAATCACTAGGATTCAGTGGAGAGATATATGCCCCTTCCTCAAAAGCACCCTTGATGGATATACAGTGATTCAAACAAACTTTTTTTTAACATATGCATAGTTTTAAATTTCTTCTTTATCAGGTTGTCGGTGTTCACTGCCTACAGTCCGGTTGCCTATCCAGCCCTTCTCATTTGCTGCTTCTAGTTTCAGCCTGGGAAACCAGCTAACTAAACTAGTTCAAATTATAAGGAAAATGAATGAAGATTTGCTGAGTTAGCCTTTCCTGCAAGAAGTACACACATTTTCTGCCATCGGTTTTGGCTGCTGGGGACTACTGAGCTTCTTAATAGGCGTTCTCACTAATATCCCACAACGTCTTAAGTGAGGAAGGCCACTCAACAAGTTTAAGTTACCTCCTGACACGTCAGGTGTTCTGATCTAACACACTGATTTCTGGTCGGGTTTGCATCTACCACTCCTAAGCGCAAAACACATGGGGGATGGGGCCAAAATGCCCAGTTAACTGCAAACAAACCTAAATCTTCCTTAGCAGAAAAGTGGCACTAACAATAATTGCAGCTAAAATTTACTAAGCTTGCCTGCCACATTCTAAGCTCTTTCTATGTAGGAGCGCGTTTGAGTAGTTCAACATTTCTTGCTACCTCTGGCACAAGAGGAGATGGAGACCCGGCTGGTTTTAAAGGCACCCTTAAAGAAAAATTAAGCTGTTAACACTAAATCTTATCTCGAAAAGAGAGGATGTGTGTAATACAGGAGTTAGAGCCAACTTCTGCTGCGAGGGAGCGAGTACTCCCCCGACACACCGGAAGTTTTGAAATATCCTGCAGGCTTCCCCCAGGCAAAGTGCTTTTCCTTCACCCCATCTCCGCCGGCCCTCGCGAAGGTTCAAGGGCCCCTCCGAGCTCTGCCGCACGCGAGGCTCGGGCCGCCAGCAGGGCCCAAACGGGAAGCGAGGCCGTCAATCACGGCCGCCCGCCCGCTCCTCGCGGCGTAACCTCGGCCGCTTGCGAATCGCGAATCGGGCAGGTGGGAGGCACCTGCGGCCGGGCCCGGGAAGCCGCGGCCCGAAGTTCGCTGTGTGGAGCACCGGCCGGCGCAGGCCCGGCTGGCCGTCTCGGCCGCACGAGCCCTCGAGGTAGCCCCGCGTGGGGCCGCGCGGCGGGGCCGGGCCCGGGGCTCCGTCAACTCGGCGGCCCCCCTAGCCCGCCCCCGGCGTCGCAACTCACCGAAGAAGCCCTGCACGATCCCCAGCGGGTGGCTGAGCCAATCCTCCCCACAGGGCATCTCGCAGACGGGCCGGAGCCGGCGCGGCCCGGCGTCCCGAGCCGCTGCTCCTCTTCGCTGGC